CAAGAAAGACACATGACCAATACAATATTGTTAAATTATGAAAGTTTGTGGGGCTATGTGTAAATTTGATTTCCCACATTTTTAACTCATTGCGTCAGTTGCCATCCAAGACGGGGCAGCTGACAAATGAAGGCGGTGCAGAGAAGGCGAAAAACCTGCGTCCGCCAGGCCACTCTGGCCGGGGTCCCAGGGAAAAATTCCTTCTTGGCTCCAATTCAGCAACCGGCTCAAAGCAGCCCACACTGTCTGATTAAATGATGGCCAGAGGCCTGGCCTTAACTCATCAGGCCTCTCTGTCATCGCAGTGACAAGGAACTTGTTGGTCAGCCATCGTTGTCTCGGAACAGGCATCATCTTGGAAGGTGACCGACGTCTACCGCACCTGATTGGTTGATACTTATCATGGCAGGGGGGTTGAATATAAAAGGGTCAAGAAAGGAATAGAGGGAGAGGATGCAGGGGGAAGGAAAGGAAGGGATCGGGAGAAATGTAGGGGGAAAGTGGGGGAGAAAGGTAAGAAAGGAATGCAAGGGTGTTACCTCTCCAAGGAGAGGGTCTTGCCTCTGTATGGGAGGGTCCAGACACTGTAGGATGCTGAGCTGGCGCCAGATATGGTAGCATTTTTGTAGGCAGACATATTATGACCAGGCAGCGCTCTTTTTGTAGAAAAAGCCCAGCAGGAACTCATTAGCATAATAGGCCACACCCAACAGCAGAAACTCATTAGCCTATTAGGCCATACCCCTGACAGCACAGCTCATTAGCCTATTAGGCCACACCCCCATGTTACCAGAAGTGTGGTCATCCAGCCACACCCACCTTTTGCTTCTTATTCTGTTTACCTTGTTTGTTGTCAAAACCCAGGGCCTTTTTTTGTAGCAGGAACTCCTTTGCATGTTAGGCCACACACCCCTAATGTAGCCAATCCTAATGAGTTTCTGCTGTTGGGTGTGGCCTATTATGCTAATGAGTTCCTGCTGGGCGTGGCCAACTTGGGAGCCAGCCGGAACTCCGTTCCTGTGCGTTCCTGGAGAGAACCAAACAGAGAGGCCAGAGCCAATTCAGGCCGCTGTGCAGAAATGCACCCGTCTCGCTTATAATTCTGCCACAACACCCAGCACTTTCTGTGGCCCAACCTGAATGGCCCAGGCTATCCCAATCTCATCCGTTCCTGGAAGCTAAGTAGTGTCAGCCCTGGTTGGTATTTGGTAGGGAGAGCTCCAAGGAAGTCCTGGGTTGTTGTCCAAAGGCAAGCAATGGCAAAGCACCTCTGTCCATCTTTGCCTTGACGCCCCTATGAGGTTGCCATAAGTTGGCTGCCAGTTGACAACACTCTCCACCACCACTTCCGATATCTCATGACCCTTGGACTCGACAGTCCGGTTTGGGTTTCCCCCCAAAAACTATCATATAACATAGATTGTGTAGTGAAAATCCATTCAGGGCATCTGAAGAAGTGGTCTCTGGCCAACAACAGTGCGTAATGAAACGTGTTTAGTCTTTTAAGGCGCCACGAGGATCTGATTCATAATTTGTTCTTATAACTAGCTTATTTCACAGTTATCTTATGGGAGTATCCAGGCCCGTAGCCAGGAATTTCCACGTCAGGGGGCATTTTAATTCCTCCGGGGGCACTGTCTAATTCAATTAAATGTGCGAGGTGGAACAGCAGCACCACGCTGTGGGCGCTTCGCCTCTTTCACCGACGGGTCCCTGCCTGAGCCCTCCGGAGCTGCTAGCATAGCACCCCTTTCTGCCTCCCGACCTCAAGTCGTAGGGGGAGTTCACGGCAGTCCCACATTCTCCAGAGTCAGGGGGCCTTGGCAGGAAGTCAGGGGGCCGGGCCCCGAAATGCCCCACCGAAGCTACGGGCCTGGCAGTATCTGATGATCTCTTAAATAAAACTGGCGGTGGCGATTCAACACCAGGCAGCGATCGTTCCGGGCGGGGATTGGCCCAGAAGCGCGGCGCGGCGAGGCGGCACACAGCATGGCCGGAACCAATTGGACGGAGGCCAGTGCAGCAAAAAGTCTTCAGCCGTGGAGTATGGGAGCTTCCCCGGAAGGAGCCGCTGCGGAGCCAAGCCGAGACAGAGCCCACCGTAAGGAAGCCGCAGACAAAAGAAGAAGAACAACACGCCAGCAGGGTGCCTGGTAGGCATTCACTGTCCCTGCACATGTGGCCCTAGATAGGAATGTAATAATCCCTGTAAACCACTCAGAGCCTCCGGGATTGAGCGGTATAGAAATTGAATGTAAAAAAAGAAGTATCTGATGATCTCTTAAATAAAACTGTTTATTAGTCCTTGAATATTGCTAACCAAGTAATAATTGTACCAAGAACTTCATTGCTGCTGCATTTGTGACCTCACCGTCATTTATCTTTTTGATTAGACTCCAAGCTTGGCGGAAGGCCAGGATAAAAATGTAAGGGATAGTGAGGCGGGAAACCGTGCCCTGAGCTCCCCAGAAAAAGGGACAGGCCAAAAATCTAAGTTGAGACCCAGCTGGCAGCCTCTCGAAGCTATTCCTCCCTAGCAAGGAAATCAGCTCCTTCTCGCCGAGACAGAAAGGGGACCAAGCGGCGTTTCCACAGAGGTGCCTCTTGTGCAATAATCATAATTTGTGTGTGTGTGTTTTTTTTAAAAAAAAACACCTGATAAAAATCAAAACCGCAGCAGAAGTGATTTATGCTTCCCTCCTGACTCCCGCTTCCATCGCACCTCGTCGTTCACAGCAG